CAAGTCCACTCTACTATGCAGTCTTCGTTTTGAAAAGTAAAAGACGAATTCATTCATTGTTTTACAATCCCTCCCCTCAAATCCACTCCACTGTGCAGCTTTCATTCTGGACTCCTGTCATGACAATAATACTTAATCATAAATCCTTTTTAAACAGTTCTCCCTCATCTATTTCAATGCAATATACATAATTCATCCCAGGATATTGACTGATTCTTTATTTGGTAGACGGTACCTGTTTAACTGGACTCATTGGAGTATGGGAACAACTGCTAGAATAATAGCAGGTAAGTAACTGCAATGTCACTTACTCATATATAATTGTGAGATGTTTATAGTATATTCTATAATTTTGCTTAAGTGATTCTTAGGTTCATTAGTATTTGGAATAATTGATTGTTGAAGAAAAATCAGCCTAAATGGTGAAATCCAGAAAGTAATTTCTGAAGGTAATTATTAGAGTAGTACTTTAGTTTTACGTTTAAGGCTTTTAAATTGTCTTTCAAAATCTCTTCTGAAGACTTTGTAGCATTTTCCTTTTTAGAAGAGTAAGGTCTGCTGATAGTCAACCGTTTGAGTACCTCAAATTGTAGGTTGTTTGCAAGTTGGACTGTCTGGCTCAAATCCTTTGTCCTTTCCACATGGCCTATGCTTTCCAAGGTTGAACAGCAGTCAAAAGTCAAGTGGGATTATCCAGTGAATTTTGATACCATATGTAACGAATACATAAACTGGAAGTTCTTACCCTAACATTTCAATAGTCTGTGGAGATTCCTCATGGATGGTTGTCTGTGAAAGGGGACATGGTTCATAGAAGCACAGGACCATAAGCGTTTCTCTGAAAGGGCCAGAGGGAGTAAGGATAGTACAGCCCCTCACTGCCCCAGAGCAAAAAGCAGATAGAGTCCATAGCCCAGCCCCATGGTGCCTGTAGAGCCCCACCAACAGCAAGAGATTTGTTTGTTTGTTCATTCACAGTTTATGGTACCAACAATGGGGCATATTACAGAAGGAAGTTGGAGAGTGGAGGAGGCAAAAAATATCACCCAGAATGAGTTCAAGTTTTAGCCTAAGTTCCAAGGCACAATTCCTCAATTAGTTCAAGTTCTGGTTTCAGTTCAACAATTAAATTCAAATCATCCAGCAAGGTTTGCCTCAGAGCAGTTATAAATCAACTTCTTCAAGCATCTGGCAAGAACAGCAAAAATCTTTAACTGTGGTTATCACAAATGGAAGAAGTCTCAGGTTATACTTTGCCATTGTTTCTCCACAGCAATGCCAGTCTTTACAACACCATCATCAAGGTCTTACCAACAGGGTCTGCTCCAGGATCCCTCATGTGTTGCTGCCATAAGTCTTGCTCTCCTCAAGTCTTGCTGCCCAATATGGGAAGCATTCTTTCTCTTATCCTAGTCCCACAGCTCTTGATGATTTGCAAGACCATAGGGATTTGCAGCAAGACCACGTGTCTGCAGTTAAGGTAGCTAGAGACCAGAGGGAGCTAATGGTAATGGCTTAAAAAAGCCAACTTTTAGGCTAACCCCACAATGGAAGAGTAAGATCAGCAATAGTCCCCATACTTTTCTTACTTCCCTTTTTACAGACTTAATTTTTTGGGGGGGAAGGCTGGACATCTCTTATTAACTATTGATTTATAACAATTATAATTTTCCCACTTTATTTAGTGTTATTATAGGAAAGGACTGAATTAACTATTTCATCTTAAATATGAATCTTATTTATCAAGTATGCTCCTTTAGTATGTGTTCTTGATACACCTTTATTGGCAAGACAACTTAACACACACACACACCTCACTCTTACCCCCCCTTTTTTTGGTTTAATCATAGTGGCAGCAATGTTTCTTGGAATGGATTTGCCTGGACTAAATCTTCCTGGACCGAGAAAAACCTATGCAATGATTGCATTTCTTGTCTGGCACATTGCGACTGAGGTTATCTTGGAGGTGCATTCTTACCGACTCACTCAGAAAGGTAACATGCTCAAAAGCCATGTTAAATGCAATCGCCTACATGTACATGCCCACATATGGCTAAACTGAAAGGGTTTCCTTATACAAATGATTGAATATTACATGATTACTAAAAATATCTGTTGTGATTTCTCAACTAGTGTTGTTAGAATTTGAGAAAAATTTCTACCTTTATTCTTTACATTTATTCATTTTGGAATTTGTAATTAACATATGAGGGAAAGGCTTTAGAATTTTAGGGAAGAAGTCTTCTTTGTAAGTACCTTTTTATTGCATGTTTGTCTGAATTAAAGGCAGGATACATTGAGAACCCTGACACTTAAAACTGTGGAAGCCTTTATATAGGGAAGCCTTTACATAGGGGAGTAGAATACACCAAAGTCAACTGAGTAGAGAGTAACAGGTATATTTACCTATTTGGCAAACTTACTGGGGACTGTTACTCAGGTTATTGTACACATACATAGGCAGGTAGATCAAAAGGAAGGACCTACTTTGTCTCTCTAAAAGCATGGTCAGTTTTGGTATTAGTCAGAATCAAGATACCTAAAGCCTCCAAACATGTATGTCTTGGAAAAAGTGCAGCCAGAGTGCTCCATGGCAAAGATGGCAAAACTTCATCTCTCATCCACTGACATGTTGCTGGTGAGGCTATTCTTTAGAAAGAGATAGCATATTTGGAAAGGTGGAGGGTCATCAAAAACAAAAACTCTTTTTGCTTTAGTGGGCATGCAAAGCCTGGAAGCCTTAAAAAAAAAAAAAAAGCCTGGAAGCCTGGAGCCTGGTTGGTTAGGTAGGAAATAACTGCCCTACCATTAGTGGTTTTTGAGAGGGTTAACTATTTGGTGCTTTTGATAACCTATGAACTATGGCTTGCTGTTTGAATTGGTAGGGTTTTGATATGGTGTTGATTGACTAGAGGAAGAACACGTATTTCTCTTGACAATTGAGTTTATATTGAGCTGACTTTTCTTCCCAATTGTGAGTACCATAAATATTCAGGACATTATAACATTCAGAAGTTTAAATGTGGTCCTAGTTGGGGAATTTATACCTTAGAAATAGGTTAATGCTCAAATCAGGTGTCTCTGTATTTTTTGTTTGTTTTGTTGGGGAAAAGAGTTAGTTTACTTGCATACTATTGGTACCTTGTTAACTTACGTTGTTCTTCACAGTTGAAGTATTGGATGATGCTAAAATTCAGATCCTTCAGTCATTTACTGCTGCTGAAGAAGTAAGTTCCTATTTTCTTGTTTGTTGACACAAACCTTAATGGTGGCTGCTTTTCTCTTACCTGTCTGAATTTTTTATTTTAGGGTTATATGTTCAGAAAGGTGGTGTTTACAATTTATGTCTGTGGAAATATAATTTTCCTCATCATATTCCTATCTGCAATCAACCAACTATGAACAGGCCACGTTCTTGGCTTTTGCAGACCAGGTACTAATTATCAAACTTGAAGCTTGTGCTGCCACCTTGAGCATATTCTTAAACTCTGACTTGAAGAAGGATGGCTAAGTCTATGTATGGAAGACTTCTGGCCTCATCTTTGGAGAGCAGCACTCAGCAGGTCTCTGTGGATTATGAACTGTTGCCGAGCGTTGCTGTGCAGTTCTGGGTCTTAAAGAGAAGGCTGTGCCCAAGGAGAAATTACTCTCACATGTTTTCTATATTGTGTGTTTTTAATAATGTTAGCATTTAAGAAAATAAAATAACTAAGTATGTAATCAAGATGAAAGGAGATGATAATAAAGTAACTACATTATAGACTACAAAGGTGCTGTGATATGTTAGAGACCACAAGGGCTTTTATTAGGACCTGGTGCCGTATCAGATGTTTCAATGTTCCATTTACTCTGTGTACTTAGTTATTTCCCTGATATGGGTGGAGATACAGAAGACATGGTTGGTGATTTCCTTACCATTTAAATATGTTATGAATGAATGTTTAGAATATGTTGTGAATGCATCTTCTGTTTAGAGACCACATGTACACACATACACACACACATTCATTTACAGATCTGAAATAGCATTTGATGTGATTGATAGTTGATGAGATTAAAAAAATATTCTATGGCAGGTTGTCATCTTGTATTTAAAAAATGACTTATCACTCACTTTGTAAGCCTAACAGTTACTCTTTTCCTTATAGAAATAAAGTAAACTTAGTGGTTCTTGATGTTCTAATAAATCAGTACAATTAATATTGTTTTCCCTTTAATTTGAATTTGATTTGTTTTATAGTCAAATCTCATATTTGCTGTGAGGACTTCTAACCAATGGGTGGCACTATGATACCAAAGTAACAATTGCTTTGTTTCTGTTTTCTTTGTGATTTATTTTTAGAATTGAGATAACATCCTGGCATTTCTCTTAAATCCTTTTAAATTCCAATTTTTCTTTGTCTTCATTTGAAAATTTTGTACAGCATTTTTAGGTTTTTTTGGTCAAAGTAATAGGATAGAAACTTAAAAAAAATGGGTTCATTTTTATTGTTAATTTGTTCATTTCCTAACCGTGATTGTTAATAATAATTGTGTGATACTCTACATTACTCTGATCTTTCAATAAATGGACACAATTGTATTAAGCAAAGGAAACAGCAAACTTGGACAATCTTAAAAGGAACAATTTCGTTCCTCATCTTTGACTATTCAAGTGCTCTTCCTGATTATGTTATAATTTCTGTTTGGCACAAAGACATTTTCAGACTGGTGAAAATAGTAATTTCAGCTTGTATTCTATATCTTTTTACTGCATAAAATCATATACGATTTTTTATTTTGACCCTTAAAAACTTAAAATAGAGGTGTAAACTTTATCTGTTCAGGGTTTTATAAAAGTGTCATGGTTTTCTACTTCCTGTCTTAATGTCATTTTTGATTGTCTTTGTTTTTTAAAAAATAAGAAAGCAAATTAAATGAATACTGAATTTTTTTTTCCAATTTCTCTGAATAAGGAGCTTAAAGGTTAATAAGTATCTTTTAAATTCTTTATCTGGTAAGAACATTTTTTTAGGGGAAAGATGAGCCTTAGGTATATTTGGTTTTAAAAAAAAGTATGAATTTTCCTGGATGTTACAGATTCATCTCTTGGAATTTTTTTCTTTATAATTTATTTTATTGTTGCAATTGAGACAGTTGTGTTGTTGTTGACTGTTGTCTAGTTGAACACGACTCATAGCGACACTATGAACAAAAGGCCTGAAGACTTTCTATAACTATCATTGCTTTTCCAAGTTCATAGTTTCCAAAGGCATGTGGTTTAGGAAGTGGATGCCACTCCTGCTTTCAAACCAGAGTCAATCTGGGAGTTGCACCAAACACTGGCTGCAATGCGTAGCTGTTATGGTGTTTGACACACCTATGGCACAGTTGTTCAGCATTACAGCAACTCCAGGTTATTTCAGTACAGCAGATAGACCACTGTTGTACCACTTAAAAGAATGTCCATTCCAAAGTCAGTTAACATCTGATGTTAATTGCAAAATTAGCCAAGCACTACCGCATTTTTAAGTTCAGGCACACCAAAATACTAGTGGACTATAAACCATACACCCCAAAAATAAAGTCAGAAAACACCAAACATTACATACGGGACCCTCAGCAGGACACGAGAAGCCACTGAGACAGTACACAGCAGAAATACACCAATTCAACAGTTTCTGCATATGTAATACTAATTAGTGATATTGATTATATTCTTTTAAGTTTTAAAATTATTCTTACTCTCTTTTTCTGTATTATTTCTGTCCTCATTAATGTAAACTAACTGTTCCCAAGGATTTTTGTCAAACTTTTGCACTGATCCTATCAATTTAATGCCATATATACTTTTTTAAAAAAATGTGGCTTGAGTAAAAATTTACACATGGTCTCATATAGATAATCCTTTAAAAAGCACAATGCTCAAACATTATTTTCTAGTTAAGCTAAACTATTGTTGGTACCAGCAGTCAGGAAATCAAAAGATGAATCACATTGGGAAAATATGCTGTCAGGGACCTTGCCAGAATGCTGAAGAGCAACAGTGCCAATCTAGAGATTAAAGTGCGCCTAATCCAGTCCATGATCTTCACAATTACTGGCTATGCATCAGAGAGCTGGACAATGACTAAAGATGGTAGAAGAATTGATGCCTTTGAGTTATGGTGCTGGAGAAGAATGTGGACTTCTAGGAGAACAAATAGTTTCATTCTGGAGAGGGTGAAACCAGGCTGCTTCTTGGAGGGAAATATTTTGACGCTCTGTCTGACATACTTTGGGCCGGGACCAGTCCCTGGAAAGAGACAAAGAGACACAAAGACAGGAAGACCCTGGATAAGATGACTCAGTGACTGGGGTAGTGGGGGTAGGTGTGTCAGAGACAGTGAGCTTGACTCAAGACAGAGCATGGTTCAGAGCTACTATACATAGGGTTGGTAAGAATTGCAAGTGACTCGATGGCATGTAATAACAAGAAGAAGCAATTGTTTGGTTTTGAGATTGTATAGGATTATTTTTTATCTATTTATTTATTTTTAACATTTAAAGATTATCTCAGGACAATGGTTTTGGTGGTATATGAAACCTCCATGGCTCCAAAAAGTATGGATTCTATTACAACTTGAAATTGTCTTCTGTCTTTTTCTGTTTTGATCAGGATTCTCCTTTAGGGCCTTATCAAAATGTACAGCAATGAACCATCCGGTTCTTCTGGTTCCATGACAAAAGAGGCAGTTGTTTATGAAGGTGATTAGTAACCTATTCCATTTCCTTCCCTTGTTCCTAACTTTTCTGTTGTTGTTGTTGTTTCTGGTTAATGGAGACTAATTACTATACCTTGAATGGCCACTTGCAAGTGTTTAATACCACATGAACAATACAACAAACTCGGAGCTAGACCAGAAGCACTAATTGCAATAGTTATCTAGGATATTTATCTAGGATATTCCATAAAACCATGAACCTAAACCTCCAAGACATGAAATAAAATTCCATGAAATTTTTATTTTTAAATACGCAGTCTAGGCAGGTTCTTTGTGCATGTGTGTGATTTTTAGAAGTATATTTATCATATATTTTTTTTTTATTAAATTTTATTAGTTTTAATGAACATTTACAGGGATTTTGGGTTTTTGTTCCTTCATTACTGCACCATTCTCTCTACCCTCCTCCCCAGTTTGTTCTTCTTCCCCGCCATCCGAATGTCTGTTTTAATTGTCCAATTGCCACAGTGCTTG